TCCCGGGCCCCTCCCTGCCGTGGCCGCGCGGGGCGGGGGCGGAGAAGCGGGAGGAGGCGGGGTGCGGGCAGGAGGAGGGGGCGGAGCGCGGGCCGCCCTCGGCGTCTGGCACCGCGGCCCCCCGCTCGCCCGCCTTCCCTCCCCACTCTCCTCCTCCCCGAGCCTGGAGGAGCCCCCTGCCCGTGTCCCCGCGCCGGGGCACACGGCCAGCCTTCTCTCCTGCCCCCACCTCCTGCACGTACCCTACCCCCCGCATGTGGAGGGCTGGGCACCTGCTCCACCTAGATTTCGGTTTTGCAAACATTTATCCAGCGCCCTCCAAGTGCCAGGCACTGTGCCCGAGGCTAGGGCTTTAAAGACGACAGAGGCAGAGAACCCGTCTTTTAGCAACTCCTAAGCGAGGCGGGGGACGGTCCGTCGCGAGGACGACGCGTTGTAACAATGCAATGTGCTGGGCAAGATTTATCGGTGCACGCTGCCCTAGGGGCGCGGAGGAGGGAGAGACGAGTCGGGTTGGAGAGAAGGCGGGCTTGATCAGTCGGGTGGAGGGAAGTGGGCTGCGAAAAAAGGCCCCTGGTGTTTAGGGGCTTCTGGGGGCCGAGCTCTAAAAGGGCGGTGAGGATCACTGGCTTCTACTCTGCTGTCTCTGTACCAAGGTACTCCTCAGATTACTTCGTGTTGCATAACCCCTGAGACAGGGACGGTGGCTATGTTGGCTTTGCAACGGAGGAAACTGAGGCTTAGGGATGGAAAGATGTGTATGGAGGAGAGGAACTGCTGGGTAAGTGAGCAGGTAGTTGTGGATATTAGAGAGTAAACAGTCGAAGAGTGGGTGAGTCCCCACCCTTCAACCCCCAACTCAGAGTCTAAATCTGGGAGTAAGTCGAACATTTCAGCTAGAGAAACTGGGTCGTCAGGACCCACAGCCTCCACTGCATAGAGAAACAGCAAATGTCATGATGACATTTCCCCTATTCTTCAAAAATCATCTGCACCAGTGCTCCATAAGAGATAACGCGTGTATGAATCACCCCGGGGTGTGCAGGGCTGGAATGGTGCCAGATTCCAAATTTCTAACAAGTTCCCAAGTAACGAAATGCTGCCACTCTGCAGGCCCCACTTTCAGGAGAGAAAGATGACACAAGACACATTTTTAGCTGGGGTGCTTAGTGTTGGAAAGACCTCAAGAGCTATCTGACAGAGTCAGACAGATGGTTTTTGAAAAGGACACCAACAAATAGTACTGGAGTAAGTAGATATTCACGTGAGTCAAAGGGCTCGATCCTTACCTCACACCATATACAGCATTCAATTTAAGAGCAATCATAAGTCTTGGGAACAGCAGTTAGCGTAATGGCTATGTCGCTGGACTCCCATGTAGTCGACCGCGGTTCACGTCTCTAACCCGGTGGCTTAAAACTCACGCCGGGCGCGTGTGCGTGCATGCCCAAGATCCCGAGAGGAGAACAGAGGAGAAGGGATTGTGGTGTGGCCATCCCCCCTGGGGGTTATTTTTCGCCTTCTGTCTCTCTGTCTCTCTCTGTCTGTCTGGTGAGCGCACGCGCCCTATAGCAAAAACCTCTCCAAAAAAAAAAAAGAGCAATCATAAACCTAGACATAAAGTAAATTGATAAAGCTACTAGAAAACAGGAGACTAAGAATCAGCAGATGGCGTAACGATTACATCGCTGGACTCCCACGTAGTTGACCATGGTTTGAATCCCAGATCCAACAGCTTAAAACTCATGCTGGGCAGGTGTGCATGAGTACCTAAGTTCCTGAGAAGAGAATGGAGACAAAGAGTTGTGGTATAGCCATCTTCCCTAGGGGTGTGATTTCTCACTTTCTGTCTCTTTCTCTGTCTCTCTGGTGAGCTCACACACCTGATAGCAAAAATCTCTCTCTAAAAAAAAAAGAAAGATGAAAACAGGAGAATATATTTGGAGTCTCAGGATAAGCAAAGATTTCTTATAAAGGATACAAAAAGCATGGCCCCTAAAAACTGCTGATAATGGATTTCATCAAAATAAAATTTCTGCTCAGGGGAAAAAAAATTGAAAGTGCTATCAAGAAAATAGAGGAACCAGCAGATGGTGTAATGGTTCATTGCTGGGATCCCATATTGTCAACTGTGGTTCGAGTCCTAGACTCGCTGGGTTAAACTCACACTGGGCATGTGTGCATGCGTGCCTGAGAGGAGAATAGAGGAGAAGGGATTGTGGTGAGGCCATCCCCCCAGGGGGTGATTTCTCACTTTCTGTTTCTCTGTCTTTCCGACAAGTGTATGCACCCTATAGCTAAAACCTCTCTTGAAGAAGGAGAAGGAGAAAAAGAAAATAGGCAAGCAACAACAGACTGGGAAGAAATATTCATAACATATATATCTTTTTTTTTTTTTGAGAGAGAGATTTTTGTTATAGCGCGTGTGCACTCGCCAGAGAGACAGAGACACAGAAAGCAAGAAATCACTCACCAGGTGGGATGACCATGCTGCAATCCATTCCCTCCTCTGTTCTCCTCCTGGGATCTTGGATACGTGCTCATATATGATCAGTGTGGGTTTGAAGGCACCAGGTCTGGTATATATATATAAAAGAAAGGATTTGTGTCCAGAATAAAGAACTCATGAGTAGAAAAACTGTCATGACTTTTCTGACAAACCAGTAAAAAGACAAACAACCCAACCAAATAGAAGGAAAGGTCAAGGGGCCAGCAGGTGATGTAGCACGTTCCCACATGGCTGACCACAATTTGAGTCCCGGACCTGCTGGCTTGCTTTCTCACTTTCCCTCTGTGTGTGTGTGTCTCTCTCTGGACAAATTAAAATAAATGAATGAATATATTTTCAAATTAAATAAATAACTCAAAAAAAAAAAAAAAAAAGGAAAGGCCCAAAGGAATAAACATACACTTCACAAAGGAAGATGCACGAAGAACCGGTAAGAATATGAGAACGTGCTCATCCAACATCTTTTGTCATCAGGGATATGCAAATTAAAACCTTTCGTAGCCAGCTCCTGCTGCTATAACAAAACACCACAGGCTGGGTAGTTTATAAATAATAGAAATGGATCGCTTACCGTTTTAGAGGCTGGAAAGTCGAAGTTTGAGCTCCAGCAGGTTCAGTGCCTGGCGAAGGTCTGTTCCTCAGGATGGCGCTGTGTAGGTGTCTTCCCATGGCAGAAGAGAGAAAGGGGCATAAAGGATCAACACTGTGCCCCCACAGAGAGGAGCCGGAACACTTCCTTCAGCCTCTTTTGTAAGAGCGCTGATCCCATGCAGATGTCCATCAACCAATGAGTGAATAAATAAATTGTGATAGGTATGTACGGTGGCATATTTACCCATCAGTAAAGCGAAACTGCTATTTAAAGATTATCCCCGCTATGCGACAGCAAGGATCACTGTCAGAACGCATGATACTAAATGAAAGAAGGCAGATAGCAACGTACACAGGGTGCATCGTGTCAATGCTCGGTGTGTGGTGGTCTTGATGCTCTCTTCAATAAGAGACCTTGGGACCAGCAGTTGCATAATGGCTACGTCACTGGACTTCCACGTAGTCGACTGCGGCTCAAGTCCTGGACCCGGTGGCTTAAACTCACACCGGGCATGTGTGCGTGTGTGCCCAAGATCCTGAGAGGAGAATGGAGGAGAAGGGATTGCAATGTGGCCATCCTCCCTGGGGGGTGATTTCTCGCTTTCTATCTCTCTGTCTCTCTGTTTTTCTGGTGAGCGCACATGCCCTATAGCAAAAACCTCTCAAAAAAAAAAAAAAAAGAGACCTTGACTTAGCTGGTCCAGAAATCCAGTTTATTTTTATTATACAAATGACCAAAATTCCCCCAGAAAAGAAAAGAAGAGGTTAACAGGCCACTTTCCGTAGAGCAGAGCTGTCAAAGAACTGCTCCCTCTAAAAGCCCCAGGCTCCAGCAGTTCCACAGGAGAACTCTCCCAAACATTCATCTCCAACGCTTCTGGAAATCGGAATAGAAGGACATTTTCAAAATTCTTTTTGTGATAGCACTGATACTAAATCTGTCAAAGAAAGAGGGTAGGGGAAAAAAAAAAAGAACAAAGACAAACCAATCTGTCTTGTGAATATTGGCGCACAAATCCTAACGACCATATCATAGGGCAATTTCACCAGAGCATCAGGCCAGGGTGGCACAGGTAGGAGGGAGCCATTGCATGATATTAGACCCATGGGGGTGGGGGGTGGAAACTGGGGTGACCTGACTATGCCAGACATGATCCTAGCTGACCAAAAGACTATGGGGGTAGCAGGGGGCTGGTGAGATTCTACCAAGGTATCTCTCTCTCTCTCTCCTAAAAAAGAAGCCTTAAAATCAAAGAATAACATGCCATGATGAAATAGAGTGTATTCTAAAAACAATTTAATACTTGAAAA